GTAGTAGTAGCAGGTAGTAGTAGTAGTAGTAGTAGTAGTAGCAGTAGCAGTACCAGTACCAGTACCAGTACCAGTAGTTGTGGTAGTAGCAGCGCTGCAGCAGCAGCAGAAGGAGTAGCAACCGGCAGTAGCAAGTAGCAGTAGCACTGGTACTAGTGGTAGCAGTCGTCTTTCGTAGTGGTGTAATGGCAGTAGCCGTAGTTGTACCGCTGCAACTTCTAGTTTGGTACTAGTACTAGTACTGTTGGTACTACTCATACTGCCAGAGTACAACAACAACTACTACTACTGCTGCTGCTGCTGCTACTGCCACTGCTACTGCTACTACTGCCACTGCTGCTACTACTACATCTACTACTACTGCTACTACTGCTGGTAGCAAATTACTACTACCTCTGCACACTCACACACGCACCGTCCAGGCGAGGTCCTACTACCACCACCACCACCATCACTACTACTACTACTACTACTACTACTACTGCTACTACTACTACTACTACTGCTGCTACTGCTACTACTGCTACTACCACTACTCCTGCTGCTACGACTACCTGCAGCAGCAGCAGCAGCAGCAGCAGCAGCAGCAGGAGGAGCCTGTAGTAGCAGTAGCTACAATGGAGTCGTTCGCGGTGATTGATTCAAGGTATTTGCACCCGTTCGGCCGTGCCATCGACCTCAATCCCTTGAAAGCCATGTGCAGCTCGGCGTGCTAATCAATCCTGGACGGTATTTCTGCAAGGGTCGATCGGTCGAGGCCGCGTGACACCGTGTCGCCGAAGGCAAATGCTACGAGCTTGATTGCGTACCGAGGTCATTGGGGCGCTGCTTGCGATAAGGTTGACTGCTGGCGAATCCATCCGCCGGAGCCTGGTGTAAACATGAGCACGTATTCTTAGTAATTCCGACAAAGCATCAATGATTGAAGCCTTGTCTGCTCGAATGATGGGAGCCGCGAGGAGCGAGACGACTTTGCGTACTTCTCAGCTTCGACAGATTTGCAGACCTTCAGACTTCAGATATATTCAGTTCTGTCCTTAGTAGGTTAGTCGGCATTGGCCAGGTCACTCCGCCACAAGACTTCTGCTTGTACCTCGATGAGATTCCCATGGTGCGCCCTGACGTGGCTGCCCTGCCAACGGACAAGGAGGCCGGACAGAAGTAGCCCCCTGTGACCACGCAATCGACTTGTACTCAGTGAGGGCACCTTCTGCTGCATACCTGCACCGCGGATAGAGCCACGAAAACGGTGAATTCTCTGACGGCTTCAAAGGTCTTTATCGATCCTTTGCCTTTCGAGAAGGGCACCGACGAATTGGGACAATTTCTGGCAGCTTTTGGCGAGGTCGAAGAAGTGCCTTGGCTGGATGTGGCGGCCTCTTGAGTTTATTGGATGTAGGGGATCCCGGCCTGGCAGCGTAGTTAGGACATGCGAGGACTAGTTGAAGCCTCCTGGTACTTGCGCGACTCATAGCCTGGCAATGATTGCACCCCATGTTTGGCCGAAAGTAGGTGCAGCTGCACTGTGCAGTTGACGCGGCATGAAATCTGCGGTGTGTCGTTAAGCAGAAAGCTTGAACTTGGGTGAGAGCGGCTCAGAGCGGTAGTTGATGCAAAAGTGGTCGCAATGTCCTTCTCTGTGCACTTACCGTGACGCGGAGAGTGACAAGAATGCCAGCAGACATAGAAGTCTAGCAGCTCAAGAAGACCATGTCGCGAAAGGCAAGATTTGGTCTTGTGCTACGCAGGGACTCCATCAATTAAAACACCTCAACTCGTTGAGATTGAGCACGCTTGGGTTGATCAGTGCTGCCATCACTGCCTGCGGAACTGCTGGAGGAGACCGGAAGTGGTCTGCGGCACATGAGTTGCTGTCGGATGCCAGACAAGCTTTTGTTCGTTGCAACATCATCGTGACAAATGCCGCGATATCATGTTTTGAACGGTGCCAGGCTTGGCAACATTCCATTTCCATGTTGGCTTCTGCGCAGGCGGAGGACCTGCGCCCTGATACAATTACATACAACACAGCCATCCGGATCGCCCAGCATAAAACTTGGCCCTGGTCACAGGCGTGTTTCTTGCTATGCGACCTGAGAGAGCGAGCGCTGAAGGGCGACTTGATCTCGTGCAACACTGCCCTTACCGTTTGCAGAGGGGCTTGGCAAGAGGCACTGGTGATACATGCTGAGATACAACACTACGGGCTGGAAGTAGATGTTGTTACCTGTGCTGCCACTATCAGTCTTTGCGAAGGGTTGCAGTGGACGCTGGGTCTTTCTCTTGTGGAGTGTCTGGTTCTGAGGCAAATACGCGGTAACACTGTTGTTTACAACAGCGCTATGACGTCTACCCAGAGAGCAGAAGATCCAGGCCATGCGCTTGGCTTGTTCGAATCGCTTCGACCTCAAACTCTCCGTCCAAGCCTGGTTTCTTGCAACGCCGTCTTGAGTGCGTTCGAGAAATCTCAGAGCAAGTGGAAGGAATCTCTTGCTTTCTTGCGTAATTGTCTCCGAACAAGTTTCCGTCTCGATGTCATTTCCTGCAACTCTCTGATATCTGCGGCTGAAAAGTCCGGACGCTGGCAAGAGGCCTTCTGTGTCTTCAACACCATGGACGCCGTGGATATTGAACACGATGTAGTGTCATGCAGTGCCGTGATATCTGCATGTGAAAAATCCAATATCTGGCAGAGCGCACTGCGCTTCTTGGCGAAGATTGAGGAAAGCAGCCTGGAGGCTCACACTATCAGCTTTAATGCTGCAATATCTGCTTGTGGAAGCCAAGAGTGGCAGCAAGCTTTATTGCTCCTTCGAAGCATGCACCACAAGAACCTTCAAGTTACTGTTGCCAGCCTGAATACTGCGATCAGTGCATGCGACAAGGGGGCAAACTGGAAGCAAGCTCTGGCTCTCTTGGCTTGGCTCTACGAGATCGGAGTGAAAGCGGACGCCATCACCTACAATGCCGCAGCCAGCGCCTGCGAAAAGTGTTCCAGGTGGATCGCTGCACTGCAGCTTTGCAACGCCCTCCCAAAGGTCCAGATCCCACCAACTACCATTACTTTCAATACGGCAATGGCTGCCTGCGGCAAGACCGGGCATTTGCGCCTGTGTCTGCGGCTTCTCGAGGATCTAGTGGTCCAGCGTTTGGAGGCCGACGCCGTGACTTACAGCACGGCCATCAGCGCATGCGATCCACAGGACTGGCAGACAGCTTTGTCTCTACTGGGACAAATGGAGAACACTGGATTGGAGATCAACTTGGTGTGTTATTCTGCTGCTTTGCAGGCCTGCGGACGCAGCACGCAATGGCAGCGAGGGCTGATTTTGTACTCGAGGTTTCAACGATCACAACCAGCATTGACGCTTGATGTGGTACCTATTAGCGCAGTTCTTGAGAGTCTTGAGTCATCACGTCAGCAGCTGCTGCTAGTTCAGCTACTGCCGCGTCTGGAAATGATGTGCTATCAGGGGATGCAGCGAGACACGTCGAAAAAAAGCCTGGCTGACATGTCAAGGGGACATTCTGAAATAACAGTCAGAAGTTTGCTGTTTGAATCACTTCTGTAGTTCCTGGCATGACCAGTGGACATCGTGCCCTCTCTGCCGTAGCTGAAGCCTAGGGCGTATCGTTGTACGGAACCACACTGACATCCTTGCAGCTCTGCGAATTCGTCAGGTCGCCGTAGCTCAAGCGGTGGTAGGATCTTGGCGCAGCCGGTCGCGACATGTGATTCTGAGCGCTGAGCTCCCCGACCTAACACCGGAATGCAGCCAGACCCTTCAGCCAGGCTGAAGAGATATTGCAAGATGATATCTGCGTGCCGCACTGGGGAGCAGTGGCAGACGGCCCTTTGCCACATCAAAAGCTTGAAAAATGAAGGGCTTAGCCCCAATTCCTTCATTATGAATGCGGCAATAGCTTCTTGCTTGAAATGTCGCCAATGGAAGCAAGCTGGCTGGCTGTTCGCTTGCATTGTGCCAAATGGGATTCAGCCAGATGTCATCACCTACAACACAGCCTTGAGTATGTGCAATGATGATCGATGGCAGGCTGGCATTGAGCTTTTACAGAGCATGAAAGCTGCAGCCTTGCAGCAGGACCGTTTCTCTTTTAACACAGCTCTAAACAGCTGCGAGAAAGTCGCTTCGTGGCGGGTAGCTCGAGATCTCCTCAAAGTATCGGGCGATCTCGGTATCTCTTCGGATACCATCACAATTAACTCCCTCCTCAACGTTTGTGCTGCTTGCAGTCACTGGGAAACTGCGTCTGCGACCCTGTGGCAAATGCAACGCAGGAGCCTCCAGGCGGACGTCATTTCACACAGCTCGGCTTTGGCTGCTTCTGGTAGGTGGGTGCAGGCGGGCGTTCTGCTCGGCCAGCTGCGGCATGCACATATTCGGACGAACGTGCTGACCTTGAACACTGTCATCAACAGCCTGGAAGGAGACCCAATGTCTGAGCCCCCTGGTGAAATGGCGGGGTGGTCATGGGCTTTACACATTTTCGCCACGATGCAAGTGCAACGAGATGTCATTACATACAACTCGTGCATCACTGCAGCCAGACCATCCAATCGCTGGCGGTTGGCAAAGTTTCTGTTTCGGCATGCGTCCCAAAACGGCTTGAGACCAAATGTTCGGACCCACAATGTCGTACTCGCCACTTGCGATGCTGACGGTCTTTGGCAAATGGGTTTTTGCGCATTGAGCCATATGCACTCTGATGGTGTTCAACCCGATATGATCACACAGTCTTCAGTCCACAGCACATTAGCACAATCTCTCCAGTGGCTTCGTGCCACACATATTTTGCTGGAAACACCAGCTCTGCAGAGCAACCTGGTTCTTTATGGTACAGCTGTGAGCTCCTGTTCAGGCGAAGGGCGATGGAGGAATGCTGTGACAGTTACAGCTGCGATGCTGAGAAAAGCCCTACTTCCCAATGCTGTCATCTGTAACTCCCTCATCAGCGCATGTGAAAAGAGCTGCTGCTGGGTTCAAGCGATTGCTTCGATGAACACCATGTCGGAGAGCCACGTGAGAGGCTTGACGGTCGGGCTGGCTTTGGGACCTTCAGTAGTTTCACTTTCAGTGAGACAAACGGAAGAGGCATACACTGTTTTACTGGAGGTTGAGGGCAAACAGAGCAAGGAAAGGAAGCGCTTCAGAGAGTGGGTAGGCTGTAACATGGCTCCTGCTACCAAAGCTACTACTACTACTACTACTACTACTACTACTACTACCTACTACCTACTACCTACTACCACTATTACTACTACTACTACTACTACTACTACTACTACTACTACTTACTACTACTACCTACTGCTTACTACTATTACTACTACTACGACTACTACTACTACTACTACTACTACTACTATT